TACTTGTCCACGCGTTTGCCATCGGGTCGCTGTTCTCGCGTGTGTCGTGCGAGGACGATGTACCGCAGATGAACTTCGCCCGGGATGTTGCCTACCATTATCAGAGCATTCTCGTTAAAGTTTTGAAGTGGTTGGTAGCAAATGCTGCCAATCTGGGCACAACCCCAGCTTCTCGGCGTCACCAATACTGGCCATACGTTCTTGTCCAAATGCGGCAAGATCCTATGCGCTTTGTCGAGAGAGCAACGCAGCCGTCTCGTGAATCGAGCGTGGGCCACGAAGGACGTTCCCGCTTCGTTTCGAACGAGTGGCGCGTAGTCTACCGTCCAACCCAAGATCTTCCCGACTGTGGCAGTACAGGGATGACGCTCGGCATACACGACGTCGTTGTTCTTAAGGATGTTGTCGAACTCTTCCCGTGTGAACGGACTGAAGTAGAAGGACGGCGCGCCGTTCGGAAGCTGCACGCACCATCCATCGTCATCTCTTCGAGCGAGTACAGGCGGTTCATTAGAACGGATCTGGTCCAGGAACTCCTGGGTCTCGCGCTCCAACTGCGCCTTAACCTTGAGTTTGTCCTCGATAGCTTCTTTCAATGCGACGTTCTCACTCATCAGCGCTGCGCGCTCGACGGTCACGTGGCGGTAGGCCTCAGCAGCTGAACGAATCGTTAGCTCATCGAACGCCATTCGAGCCTCCAGTACACGGCGCTGCAGCTCCTTCTCGAGACGTCGGCGTTCCTCGACCATGTCGAGCTTTTTTTCCTTCTTTTGCTTCCGCCACCTGATCATCCGTCGACGTTGTTGCTCACGTCGCGTTTGTTCCTGCATGGCTGATTGATACAGCTCCATCGGAGACTTGCAATTCTGTCGGGTATTATTCTTTTTTGTAAAAGGTGATTGCTGGGCACTTAAAGACAAGGTAGCGGGGAGCATGGTTCGCCTTGATCGAAATAACTTGGAATGACGTGAGTTTTTTTTAGTTGCGAGAGTGAGAGTCAGTGGAGCACATCAACGTCTGGGATCACGTGGTGGAATCGTAATCACGGTATTAGATGAGGTGAGTTGAATGTTCAAGTAAGGATGACTCTGTCAACTATACTGCGTCCTCGCAATCTAGTACGTAAGTAGTGGACTGCTATTCTTTGGTACATGTTCTGGGAAGGTTGGAGTAGGGTTTTGAAACCTGAAGAACTGTAGAAGAGGGTTCCAAATATTTGATGCAGAATGTCCCGCCGGACAGCACAGTCCGATCTTGTGTGCGATTCCACATGTTACATCCTGATTTGCTTTATTGTGGGGCTGCATTCCTCTGTTTCTTCTCTGTTGTAATAGGGCTGGAGTCATCGTCTGCTCTTCTTCAGTCTGAGTTCAGGGCCTGAATCAGGCCGCAGACTGCAACATCGTTTGCTGTGGGTCATGTCACTGACATTGTCAGGTGTGGGATACTGGTTTGTGAATAACTCAAGACGGGGAAGCTGGACAAGTAGCATTCAAAGTGTGCGTTATGCTTGTTTTTGATCAGGTCACGAGTGAGAAATATACGTACTGTTAAGTTGGTTGCGTGTCAAGTAGAACACGTTTGGGGTGAGCAGTTGTATTGATGCTGCTGTGAGTGCAGTTAGAGATCATACAAGCTTTTGTAGAATATCTGCGTACGTTCCTAAGATGATCGGGTCTATCATAGACCTCTAGTTGCTTGCCACCTGTTCCGTCGCCGCGATAAAGAGGTGATGCGGTAGGAATCATTTCTATAAGCGCGCCAATGGTATTATAATACTTTGTACAGCAGCATATCCTCTACTTGCTCGGTCCTGAAGTACTCCAAACGTAGCCTACTGAGCAGCGATGCTAAATTTCTCAGTCGTGACCTACAACCATAACGCTCCTTTTGATTGCTGTTTTGACAACTTACCACTCTTGAGTAATTCAAAATCTCTCACTTGAACACGGTCCACACCAAATAAAGCTGCAGACGAGAAGGAGAAGCAGCATGATCATTTCAACCGATAGACGCCGAGTGCAGCAAATCTGAATGCAGCCCGTGGACTCCACGGTGAATGCGATCTCTGGTACACAGTAGCACATACTGCTACTTCCGCTACGTAACAGCAAGCTCTGGCCAATAATGCTGATAGCTTTCATAAGAACTC